ACGCAGGAAGTTCCACCTGAACATGAGGAAGAACTTCTGTACTGTGAGGGTGGCTGAGCACTGGCACAGGCTGCCCAGGGAGGCTGTGGAGTCTCCTTCTCTGGAGATATTCAAAACCCGCCTGGACGTGATCCTGTGCAACTTGGTGTAGGTGACCCTGCTTTGGCAGGGACGTTGGACCAGATGGTCTCCAGAGGTCTCTGCCAACCCCTACCATTCTGTGATTCTGTGATTTTTCTTGGTTAATGAGTAGTATTCCTTATAGGATATGAGGAGAAAACTCTTTTCTGTTACTGTTATAATTTAGTCATTATTATTCATACTGTTAATAAAAAGTGATTTCGTAGGCATACTGACTGGCTTTAGCAGAAAATAAGTAAATGTGAGATTATAGTTAAAAATATAAATTGCATATCAATGTATAGTAATTCAGTTTAAAATGTAAGGAGAAACCATATATACTTCCAAGAGAAACACATTTTGTACAAAAAGGGACCTAGTAACTTGTTAACAACTGTATCATCATAGAATAATAGAACAGTTTGTGTTGGAAGGGACCTTTAAGGGTCGCCTAGTCCAATCCCACTGCAATGAGCAGGGACATCTTCAACTCCATCAGGTTGCTCAGAGCCCCGTTCGACTTGACCTCAAATGTTTGCAGGGATGGGGCATCTGCCACCTCTCTGGGCAACCTGTGCCAGGGTTTCACCACCTCATTGCGAAAAATTTCTTCCTTATATTTAGTCTGAATCTACCCTCTTTTAGTTTAAAACCATTACCCCTTGTCCTATCACAACAGGTCCTGCTAAAAAGTCTGTCCCCATCTTTTTTACAAGCCCCCTTTAAGTATTGAAAGGCCCTAATAAGGTCTTCCCAGAGCCTTCTCTTCTCCAGGCTGAACAACTCCAAATTTATACTTTGAGTAAGTTGCATGGGTTTCGTTCTGTTACGGTGCAGAGTACCAGAAGTGTGGATTCTGTTCTTAAGGACAGACTGTTCCACGGGACTTACTAGCATCAGTGTTCGACTTGCCTTTTTTTCTTTTAACAAAACCAGGTTTGAAATACGGACTCTCAGCGGTGGTTGTGGGAAGAGGGCAGACCTACTGCATCCAACATAAGGATTTGCTTAGCCAGAAAGGAGTACTTGACCTGGTATAAACCAGGTAGCATGAATTGTCTCCACAGTTTCAGCCTGGGTCTTTATTTCTTCATTCTTCCATTGCTTAGCATCAAATGCTTTTTTTTTTTTTTTAGTTTTCCTAGAAAAACAAACAGTAAAAATTGTTAGGCATCTCATACGCCATCTTTGTTAATTTCATCATTGATTTATGAAAGGTTTGTGGCTCTGGTGGCTTTTCAAATCAGCAAAATACTACAGTCAGGCTTTTTAAAGGCCTTTTGGACATGGTTTAACTGATGATCCTGTTAGCCGTGCAAATATATGCATCTTTAGGTGAAGACACAGGTGTGTGCTTTCCAGTTCAGCTTGGAAACTGCAGCCGCCCTTGGCATGAAGGCCCTCCCCAGGGAAGTGATGAACTGTTCCCATCAGTTAGTATATCCAAAACTGTGTAATGCTTTCACGCAAGTGTTTTCACCCAGCCTTTCACCACTGGTCTCTGTGAAGGTCTCCATATTTAACATGCTTATTTCCTTCCCCTTCTGGAAAAAAACAGTTGTCTCCACGTTTCAGAAGTTTGTTGGACAGTATGTCTTCCCAATTTGTTTTTTTCAAAAGACATGTGTTAGAAGAAAAACAGATCAGTCATATCCAACAGCCCAAGAGAAGTAAGGCTGCTGCAGCTCCTCCACCAGTAGCAAGGCTGCTGTGCTCCCAGTAGGCACACACATACCCACAGCACATGTATACACCACATATACACACACACACACGTGACCACATGTGCAATCACACACACTGATAACACAGACAGACACTCAAGAGCGCTCACATGAACCCAGACAGCATCAACGGCCTCATCCTGCTCCCCTCTGACAGAGCAGGGCAGAGGTGCAGGGGTGGGAGGGCAGACATATACAGGCCCTCTGCCTGACCCCGCACATAGGAGCCCTCGAGGCCACAGCCCCACTCCCGTTGCTGGTACAAACTATCTCAGGCATGAGGAAAGGACTGATGGGAATACTACCTCTTTACCTAAGCCCTAAGTCTACTTCTACGTACCTAAGCCCTACCTCTACTTCTTCCTAAGTGACTGGTTACTCATTGTAGCTTAGCTTTCATTTCGTTTCGCTCTATTTTAAAGACTATTGGAAAAGTTGTAGAATCATTTTTTCTTTAAAGGTCCAAGAAGGATCAAGACCAGAACCTATTAAACCTCAGGGGAGAGCAAACGTGGTGACAGAACCTTTTCACAACAAAACAACTAAGAATTCAAGAAACATTCCTATCCCCAGTGACTTTGAGCTAGATTAACAGAAGTCCTGTCAGTCATTTACAACATATAACTGTGCAGCTGCTTGTTGTAATTCACAACCTACATGAAGAAACCTACATATAGGTTTTTCTAAATGTTTAACAGGGACCTATTTAGTTTTTCAACAGAAGTGTGGGTAATAAATCTGCCTGGAACTGAAGTTTCAATCAGTTAAAATTGATCAACCCTCTCTCACAAAAATATTTCTACAAGAGAGAGACAAGATTCCTCCCATGCAGCAGGCAGTCATCACAGAACGCGTCTACAAATTGCGTCCTCTGCATAACTTTTGAACTGCATTTCCCTTGTCTCAATCACTACTCTCACTACCTGGCTATACGGTATACAACGCTTTAGGGCAGCTTCTTTTCAACTTCAGGTGGTAAAGGCAGATGGGGAAGAAAAGGGAAAGTAGTATTTTGAAAAAAAGGGACATAATTAAAGTTAAGATTAATTTGCAAAAGCTATCAGATCCTAAACAAATAATACACATAGAAAAGCATGAAATAATTTAGGAAAGAGTATTTAATTTAAGTTTTAAAAAAAAAAGCCTCTGGAAGTGAACATCAATTTGCTTAAAACACTTAACACGGTTTATGCTACAGAATTTAAGTCTTGTTTTGCAAGCACCCTATAGTCATTTACCATTCTGCCTTCCTCTGACCTTAAAAAGACTGCCACAAGCTACAACATCAACAAAAGTGTCTTACAATTTTGTAAAAGCCTGTTCCACAAAACTAAGTCAAGAGATAGACGTTTACCATTTGTTAACATTTTTAACTAAAGTCTTGTCATTAACTCAAATTGGTATTAGAGTTAAGAAGTGAAATTTCTCTGGTACCACAAATCTAGGTTTCCATGCAGATTAAACGTGGTAGGCAGACAGCACAAAGCAAAACCACTCTTATTTACGGCCAGAAAGACGAAAGCAGACTATTAGGAACGTAGGCTTCGTTTTGCACTGACTCTTATAGCCCAACATGTGCCCCAGCAGCTCCCCCCTCAGGGAGCTGCAGAAAAACAAATTTTGGAAGACTGGTCCCTTGGTCACTCAGCTTCAAGGTCAGAATACAAAATTTATTTTCAAACAGCTACCATGTTGATATAATTGCTTTACCTAATACACCGTACAAAAAGTTATAAAATGGTGAAGAAAAAATTGACTGTATTCTAAATATGCTTCCTAATTGTATGTGAAAAATGAAATGGCCGTTTTCCACAGTTTGTGCCCCAAGTTATAAAACCAGTTTAGGCTAGTTTATATCCTGAACTTTAAGAACTTGAGTTAAAAAGAAATGTATGATGACACTGCCATCATATTAGCATTAGTAAACATATCACATTCTGAATCTTCTTCCTGTTGGCAAAAATATGAAACTAAACCATTTACAAGAACTGTTTCTTTTCTCTGCCCCTTCAGCAAAGTGAAATGTAGCATGAAATAGATAAGTCATCTGATCTTTCTTCAGTCTCCTCTTCCTAATTTTTCAAGATACTCAGAGCACTACTTTCAAATTTGCCTGTGCTTCAGTTACTCAAGTTTGCATTTCTAACATAGCCATTACTACGTTTTACTTCTAATAATGGACATATCCAACTTTGAGACAGTTCATTATGCCACACACAGTAGTGAACAGTAATTCAGATTTAAAAGTGGTATTCCATACTAACATTGCATATAAATTACAGATAAAAACACAACCTGAAAAATTACAAGGTGAAATTCTTTCAGCAAGGGAAGTAAAATTCTTTGGTGAGCATAGAGACAATGCACGGAATCTGCTTCTTTGCATTAAAATCTTGCCGAGTTGAGCAGGACTCGTACTCTGCCACTCTGCGATTTACACGAGTTAAAATCTGCATGAGTTCAAGTTTCCTTGCATGTTCCTCCAGCATTTTACACAGTGACTGAATAAACCAGGAGCCCTCAGCTGAATTCCTCCAGGAGTAGTAGCCTGTGGAAGGGAGAGACATCAAATTGATCAGATGTAGCAGCCTCTGATACAGGACAGGATAGCAATGAGGGGAACAATGCATTGTTTCCCATAGTAATCAATGTTTTAAAATAAAACCTCAAAACCATTAACCCACAAAATTTAGATTTGCTAATCTCCCCAAATTCCACCTCAAAAGATTTTTCTAATCCTCTCATCTTTTCTAATCTAACAAAGAAAAAAACCCACACCAAAAAAAACCAAAAAAACCCCCAGAAACCCCACCAAAAAAACCTTTCAGTAGGTAGAAAACCAAGTGTCAGGAAAACTATCTTCTGCTGCAACAGTCTTAGCCATTAATCACTTACTACTTCTTTACAGAGTACATGAATACGAAGGAGAGGTGACAGTACAGATGGAGCCAAGATGCAAAATGGATTTCAGTGTCACTATCTTCAGGACTACATGCACAAATTAGAGATGGGAACCTACTTCTGCTACATGATAACGTACAGGGCATACTAAGGGCTCTGCCGCTACTAATTTTGATTAAGGATGCAATGAAAACAGAATCGATAGGCAAATAATATGCTGGTGTTTATCACCCACTTCTGTGTATCTACAGATAGTTGATTGTTTTGTTCTCTCAGAACTAATAATACCTTTTATTTCCTGCTGTAAATTATGTGCACTACTCAGATTAACTGAATTTATAGTAGGTGAACATTTGAGTGTTTGCTACCAAGAAGGATGGATATTCAGGGTTTTATAGGAACTGAGAATAGCAACTACCTCAAAAAGAAATCAAATCAGGGGAAAAAAAAAAATAAATGATGGAGTGAAGAAAATTCTTATTTCCATGAAAGAGAACAAATGAAGTAGTCACCTATTGACTGGATACAACTGCAAATTCTTATTTACAATATCAACACAAGCTGATGTATAGATACAATTTCAGGAACAAAAATTTCTTTGCAAGTCTCTCACCTGGAGCTGTAGAATAGGCATACAGGAAGTCTGCTTCTACAGGTATTTTTTGACACATTGTTTCTTCTGATCTACTGTCTGCCTCAATACCAGAATCTAGTTCTGTCCCTCTACAAGCCTATTTGGTGGAAAGAAAAATGGAAAATAAATTAACAAATAAAGAAATAAAGGCAGCAATCATGATCACAATACTGATTTTTTTTTTCCATTTTAAAAAGACAATAATATCCTGATTAAAAAACCTGCAAAAAATAACAAGAATTTATGTCACATTTCTATTAGACTCAGAAGAAAAGTAACTAGCATTTATTTAAATCAACTACTCAGTTTGGTTAAGACAGATATTAATTCAAAAGCGCATTCAGAAACCCACTAAAATATTGGCTAGCATTCAGAAATATTTTACTTAATCCACAGAATTAAGGTAATGCAATCTCAGCTATTACAAATACTGCCTACCTAATGGGGCAGACTGTGCCACTTTTAGACCTGAAGAGAATCTTATTCTGAAAGTAACTCCATTTAAATCAATTTTAGAAATAATTAACTGTTTTGCACTAATAATTAATGGAAAACAGTATTTTTTTAAGTATCCAGCTGATTTGGTGATCTTTGTTCAGCTGTACATCACCTGAATGAAAAAGAGCTTGGGTTTTCCTGCTAAACTTCTGCACCTGTCACCTCTGAAAAGGCTTGTTAGTGCTTTCAGTTCAAGAGGGCCATCTGTACCATAGATTAATCCTTCATCACCATGGCTTAGCAACACGCAAACAAAACTGCTTCGCTTGCTGTGATCTTCTTCAGAAACTTGAAAGAAAAAAAAAGAGAATGATCTTAACATCTTGCATTCCCTAAAAGCTTTGAACATTTGATGCTTCTTATGTGACAGAAGTCTTTAAGAACTAATTCCCATGTTTAGAAACCTCCAACCAGTTTTCACTTCTGAACAAAAGGAGTCAACCTACTTTATATCAGGCAGTTGGACACAGAAAACCCCAAATTAATGGCCAACCCTACCCATTCTAAGACATGGCCACAGAACTAAGTCAAGAACACCGTGAGACAAAGAGGGTGTTCCCACAGCATCCCAAAGTCTGAATGGTACGCTCGCTCGTGCGGCAATGGTCAGTCTTGTGATCTGGGATTGGACTGATGGGAAGTTCTGAGTTTTGGGAAAGGATGGGGAAGCCTTACCTCTCTTTCCAATCAGAGATGCTTCAACTACTTGGACTACACAGGAACTGAATGTAGCATGAAAGTTGTTGCTGCTGCAGGGACCTAGGTACTAGCATTACCCCTCTCTCTCTCTCGCCCTGTCGCAAGGTCTAGAAAGATTTTTCAAGCCTCTGAATTTTGTACTTAAAGATATTTAATCTTGATATAAAGTGTTTGCAGATTTATACTTTTTTTTTCCCATCTTGTGATACGCAAAGAGCACAGAACAGATATTCTCCAATGTCTTTTGTTGCCTGACATTGTGGGAATTGTACTTGAGGACCAAGATGATTCTTTTAAATAATGAAAATATACAAACATGGTTTAAAAGAAAGGATCCAAAAGGAATTCTGAGTAGGAAAATCAAGAAGATGCAAGAGTTTGTAGGTGAAAAGTGTAACAGTCCCCAACGCTGAAGTCTTCTGTTTAGAGCTTGCCAAAACACTGAATTTCTATTCTAGAAAAACTGAACAATTCAGATATTTCTCAAGCTACGCACACTCAGGCATTTCTACAATCTATGGACAAGCACTGCATCTAGAAGAGTCAGGAAAGGCTGTTTTGGGGAATCTCTAGTTAGGCTGCAGTCTGCAATTTACCCTATTTGGAGGTCTTAGACCACAGGTAAGACAGACACCTTTCCACCTTCAGCTACCGTCAACAGACAGGCTGCAACTATACTAATAAATTAAGCATGCCTGGGAGCGTTCTGGGGCATAAACAATAACTGGCACTAAAGAACCTACACCTATGTTAGCAAACACGTTAAAAAAAACCCCAACCAAACAGGATTGCTGCAGGCTGACTGACTGTTGGGAATAATCCCGGAAACACTTTTACTTTTGAACTGTGACCTGGAACAGTCTGGGAGAACGCTAGTAGGCATGAGGCACAGTCATACCAGAGAACCTTCCAACAGTTAACTAGAACAGACTGTGTTCCAGGGCTACAGGTACCTCCAGGCACCATTTAATTTGCTGGTCCAGATGTAGCCAAGTCCAAACAAAGCAGGACTAACACAGTAGTATAAAGGTCTCACTTGACAGAAGGGTGTTTTGTTTCACAAGTCAAAGAAAACATGCATTGTTTCTCTAAAAGAGTAACTCAGTCCACAGACTTGCAGTTCTGGCCCCTCGATCAGAACCCCCCCTGGATCAGAACACCTCTTGGGCCACACCACTAAGCATAGAGCACAGAACCCCTTTCAGCAGGTTTCTTTCCAACTCACAGAGCTTCAGCGATCCCAGGGTCAGAATATAAATCAGTCTGCATTTAAGTTTCAGTCTTTTTTCCAGCCTTCTTTAGAAGATGAGAAAGGATACGCAGACAACGGTCATGCCACAAAAGATGGAGAGACAGCAAAGATGAACAAACATAGAAACTATCATGTACATGTCATCCTTAGCAATAAATCACCGGTAGGTGTGAAATATCAGCTAAAAGAGCTACGGAAGAAGAGATGTGAGGGCTAGAGATGCATTTGGAAACAGTGGTTGATTTAATACACACACTGAACATATTATTGCTTACCTTTTTTCAATAGTTTAAAAATGTCCCCACACGAAAGATCATTTTTAATCTTTATTTTATATCCCAACTCCATAAAAACTTCTCTGACACTTGCAGCATCCGCATCTGTACCCGAACGGGGTAACATTCCTATACATAAGGGAAATGTATTATTTTTCATATGATATAGATGGCATGATCTGATTGAGCCAAATTATCTTCTCACTTATACCTGTATCAGTCTGGAATATTATTCCATTATTCCAGATCCACTCTAACAGAAAAAACATTCCACTGTTATACACGTGCACTGTCTCCCTCTCTCTGTACCTACGTTGTAGCTACCCATTTTTATATCTACCTACCTATAGAAAGACATAAAAAAGGACTTCATTTGCAAAACAGAAGTCACGACTAAAAGGTAAGACAGACTTCTATTGCCAATCAATTTTTCCTCCCCATTACTGCTATACCCTAACACGTTCCCGCTATGCATACTTGGAAGAATGCACTGAAACGAATCACAACCACTCAAACCACTTAATTTTAGACTGCAGTCAAAATTGGTCTGCATATTTAATTTTGAAGAATAATACATGCCACCAATTGATCTAAATTAAGGAAAAGAATTAAAAACTTGAAAGTGGTACCAGTATGTTTGTGGAAGTTCTTATTGTTTATTATTACACATTCCCCCATCTCTGGATAATCCATTCTGTAACTGTAGTCTGGCAGAATTCCAGAGTCCATAGACTTGCTAGCAGGTAGGTTCTTTCTGTATAGAAATCAGACAAACTTTAAGTGTTAATTTCTACCCTCTCTTCTCTAGTTTCAAAATAACGCTAAAATAACATTATCTTAGCAAAACCAATGAAACTGGTAAGGTTTGCTACTTGTTCCTTAGAAGTCTGCTGAAGGAAGTTTGCCAACGACACCAAGCTGTGTGATGAGGTCGACACGCTGGAGGGAAGGGATGCCATCCAGAGGGACCTGGGCAGGCTTGAGAGGCGGGCCTGTGCGAACCTCAAGAAGTTCAACAAGGTCAAGTGCAAGGTCCTGCACCTGGGTCGGGGCAATCCCAAGCACAAATACAGGCTGGGTGGATAATGGATTGAGAGCAGCCCTGAGGAGAAGGACTTGGGGGTGCTGGTTGACGAGAAGCTCAACATGACCCAGCAATGTGCACTTGCAGCCCAGAAAGCCAACCGGATCCTAGGCTGCATCCAAAGCAGCGTGACCAGCAGGTCAAGGGAGGGGATTCTGCCCCTCTACTCCGCTCTGGTGAGACCCCTCCTGCAGTACTGCCTTCGGCTGTGGGGACCCCAACACAAGAAGGACATGGACCTGTTGGAGTGAGTCCAGAGGAGGCCACAAAGATGATCAGAGGGCTGGCACCTCTCCTGTGAGGACAGGCTGAGAGAGCTGGGGTTGTTCAGCCTGGAGAAGAGAAGGCTCCAGGGAGACCTTAGAGCAGCCTTCCAGTACCTAAAGGGACCTACAAGAAAGCTGGGGAGGGACTTTTTACAAGGTCATGGAGTGATAGGACAAGGGGCAATGGCTTTAAAGTGGAAGAGAGAAGATTTAGATTACATATTAGGAAGAAATTCTTCCCAGTGAGGGTGGTGAGGCACTGGAACAGGTTGCTCAGAGGTGGTGTGGCTTCCCCATCCCTGGAAGTGTTCAAGGCCAGGCTGGATGGGGCTTTGAGCAACCTGGTCTGGTGGAAGGTGTCCCTGCCCATGGCAGGGGGGTTGGAACTAGGTGGTCTTTAAGGTCCTGTCCAACCAAACCATTCTATGATTCTAAGTTGTCTGTGAAATCAGTTGGTAGATCTGATTTAAGACTACTGAAGACTCTACTTGCCCAGACGTTAAAATAAATAGAACTGCTTTGTATAGTTATGCTCCCAAATAAAACTGTTGTTTGAAGTTTGCTAAAATGTGCACATATACAAATAATTTTTTTTATAAAAAGTGAAGAGTCATTTGTATTCATAGTAATCTTCTGTGCAACTTGTAACAAACTTAAAATTTAAAGATTCAAGGAAGAACTGTCTCTAAAATCATAACGCCTCTGCACAGGAGAATATGAAAAATTAGTTTAAGGAAACCAATTATTGTATCAACAACAAATCAGTTTTGTTTTTTTTACTACAGTCTTTTGAAAGCTATGTACCTAGAGGCAAGATCAGCTTTGAGACTGTAAATCTATTCTGAATTCTAACCAGACGTCATATTACCATTGAATTTTCACAAGTAAACATTCAAAACCTAGAAAGATCAAGACTCTATATGCAGCTGTAATTCTGTCTTAATGAGTACACAAACTACACCACCACAAACTCTACAACGGCTGCCAATTTTACGCAGTGCATATATGCTGAAGTTGGTATGGATTTTCTCATTTAAGCACATGGCTAAGTGGTTTCAAGACTAGGGCCCACTATCATATTGTATTCTACAAATAAAAAGTCTGTAATGCTCTTAAATCTAATTTTCATTGAAATACTAAAAAGAATGACCTCAGAAACAAATTGAGTTTCCAGAGAGAGTGTAATCTGATGATAGTACTACACTGACGTAACAACTAGCTGTCACCAGGAAGCACAGGCCACGTTTCCTCCCTTCCACCCCGTAAGTTCCCCTTGCACTTGTGCTTCCGCACACATAACCCTACAGCAGGTCAGCTCAAGAAGCTGAACTGTCTGCCACCGGTTCACGTGAGCTCTAGAAGCAGTTTAAGGAAAGGGGGGAACATTTAGCCCAGGGTGAGACAGAGAAGTCTCTTTTCAAGAGCAGCTAACCACTTGATAATAGTGTTAAGCCAACTCTACCTGCACCTGAAGTGTTTCGCTTTTTAGTCCCTTGTACATACATGTGGCCTGTTCTGCCAGAGAGTGTGTATTTTCAAAGTCAGTACAACTCTAATAGTTGTTTATGATTATTATAATCTACTGTAATTGAAACTTTTCCTTTTAGTATTATTTCTTCTATGGCTCTCGCCTTCTGTCACAGCACAAGATTCCTCAAGACTTAAATTGAAGACTTAAACCAAAAGTACCTCACTTACCCTTTGGAATCAGGAATAGATTTTGCATCTGTCAGATCTTCCCCCAAATGTGGTCCATCCCCTATGTCTGCCATTATGGCTCTCAATTATCAGCTTGAAAACTGAGAAAGAAAAGAAATAAATAATTAAATAAATAAAATGTAAAATAAATAAAATAAGAAAATAGAAATATATGACAGTTAATTTTCATATGAAATAACAGCTTCAGATTGCTTAATTTTTGTTAGGTTTCCTTAAAGCCTTACACAATCAGAGAACAATTTTTTAGAATTATAGAGGAAACAGGAATGTTAAAAGGGAATGTTCACACAGAATAACTTTAGCTAGGCATGTTAGTATGGGTAGGCAAAAAAATAGCATTTCTGAGTAATCTCTACATATCTTATATTTGAAAGAACAACACAAAATATTTTTCTAAATTATTGCATTCTAAAACAACTCTGGGAAAAGTAGCCTGCAGATCCCTGTGACCAAATCATTGAAAATGCCTACAAAAAGCAGGGTAAGAGGCAAACAAAAACAATCTCTAAAATACTGTAATGTCCCTACATGCATTAGTAGCATTTTAGTATTATGAATATTGTGTCATATATGGATCCCTCCATCTCAGTAAGACAGCAACTGAGATCCAAAATCAAGCAATACAAGTTATCAGATGTGTGCAAAGACTAACATAGAGGATTAGATTTCGGGGCACAGTATTTTGAGAAATAAATAATTTATCTGCATTCCATTTCAAATGAAACATCACTGCATCCAATCCTAATTGGTATATATGAAGGCAACTGCAATATAAGTAACATAAAACCACAACAATATAACTTTAAATAGTTGATGAAATGAACCCTATGCTGTGGGCTGCTGTTTACTTTTGATCAGAACACAGGACAAGAAATTATAATTGATACCAAGCCAGAAATAGATTTAAAAGCAACAAACCTCCCTCCCAATTACTCTGTGTGTACTCATGGAACAAGTTACCACAAGTTACCTTCACTCAGGATTCACAAAAGGGTTAAGCATTGTAAAGTTGTATCGCCAGATAGGACAAAGTAATAAATGCTTAGAAATAAGTGCTTAGATGTCAAGAAACAAATAAGGTACTACAAGGCAAGAATTTTAAATCAGCAGATATATTTATGGTAAACAGGGATGCAAAAATAACCAGACCAAGTAGTAAGATTTGCTGGTAAGATATGATGAAGATTCTTGTTTAAGGCTTACGTTCTTTGGCGGCAAACTATATTTTCATCGTATTTTTACATTAAGTCTCTTAACTTCATATCTATACTCTAGCTAGTACGCTACGAACATCCATTTTCTGTGGCAACAAGTACAAATGCATCAGAAGAACTAATCTGGGTATATATAATCCTCTTTCTTTCCTTGTTTTTTAAAAGACATCTACTTACATCTTTAGTGACTTCAAAAGATCTTCAAGGTTACTCCCACTGCTACTTCTTTGTATCTTGGAGCACTGATGTAATTAAGAAATCTTCTTGCTCATAAAATTATTCCAGACTTAAGAACTGTATCATGTAGATTAGGAACACACAGGAAATTTCCTGAAAACCAAATTACAAAAGTATCAAATAAGCTTGATATTTTAGAAATAAATTTTCTAAAATACATTATTGCTTTGGATGTTAGAAATTCACTTTAAAGACAGTATCATGGGGCAGGAACTACATCTACGGAGCTGAACCTGCCTGCCTAGCACTATGATCTGGATTCATCCATCCTAACTTCAAAATCTAATTCCTTAAAAGTTCCCTATATGAAAAAAAACAGACAAGCACTTCCAAAGGGTCACTCAAGTACCTGAGACCTGTGGCATGACAGTGATCCAACCCTATGCCTGATCACTGGGCTGGGAGCATGAGCATCGCCAACAAAGCTTAGTCTAGAGTGACAACAGATGCATTCACTCAGTTGTAATCGAAGAGCAGAGCTCTTCTCTGGGAAGTGGAAAGAATGGCTTTCATTGACAAGAATGCTACAAGTTTCCCTGCTCCAGCAGAGCCCAGTTTCCAGGAATTTCTATGCCTCTTTCAACCCTGTCCCTACCATAATCATCGTTGGCTTTGGTTCCCAGCCTTCCTGAGATCTCAGCCTGACACTTTTGAACAAAACTTTATTTTGTAGGAAAACATTCGACCAGACTGACCCACAGCTCTGATGCAACTCATGCTGTTCCTTTGTCTGGAGAAGCGCTATGGGCAGAAGCGCAACCCAAACCCTGGGATTAATAGGAGAGACAAGGAAAAGCTTAACTTTCTTGACTGTTCTTTGTCAACAGTAAAGAAGAACCACACCATACAAGAAAAGCATAGTATCAGGTACCAACTCCATTATCAAAACTAGCCAAGAGGTGTACTGAGAGCAGTGTAGCCATGTCAGCATGGAATTCAACTTCTGCTAAAAGCCCACGTGTTTATCCCAGTTGTCTGGCACTGTGAAGATCTGCAGTGCCAGCGCTGCAAGTACATGAACCAGCTAGTGTAAACTAGTAAATATGTGCCTACACCAGCTGTGGTCACCTCCCGGCTATCATGAGCCAGCCTGGGCTACCCATACCTACTTGAAGAAAGACTCAGCTGAAGCATAAGGAAAGCTAGCAACTCGGTAGCCAACAGATGAGACCTTGGAATCATTAGGGAGGGTAAGGAGATCATTAGGCTGCCTTGGGTTCACATCAGGTGTGCTCCAACCAAACGGTTGCATCCCGTTAGGGACTAGTTTCAGTAAGCTGGTGGCAATAAGACTGGTGAGCAGCAGCAGACTTAAGTAGGCAAATTGGAGACCTAACAGACTGGGACCACTGAATGCTTCTGTAACACAAACGTTAACAGCATGCTGCAAACAATAAGAAACATCTTCAACATTTAAGTGATCTTAAATTAAGACTTATCTTCTCGACCCTTTTGCAACCTTCAAACTTAAAACTCTCAAACTGCTGTCCTTGATCCAATGCCAGAGAAACAATGAAATTTGAAGAAGTAGCTAGCAAAACCTACAATTACAATGAACTACAGTACTTTGTTTCTCAAAAATATAAAACACATTTGGCAATACCGTATTGTACAAATATTTCTTGCTAGAGCCTTTGCAAGCCTAGCTTACAGCCTACAGTTTCAACTGTTTAATGAAGTGTTAGAGCTTACTGCATTCAACAACATCAAGACTGAAGCTTGTCTAAGAATCTTTACAGAAGCTAGAGAGAGAGTGAAGAAAAACTGGGTATAATATGTTAGGTATTTAAAATACACATGCATTATCTTCAGAAAGAATCTGTAACTCACCTTTAATAGCCATCAATTTCTGAGCACCTTAACACTCCAAGTTACCTGCGCTTCTTTAAAGAACAAAATACATCCACAAAGAGGCATCTCTTTTGTTGCTAGGCTCTCAAATGCACGTTTTAACCAGCAGTATGTTTTCTGCTCTAAAGCACTAGTCAGGGTAACAGGAACGCTCTCTGGAGGATGGTGCTGATTCTAACAGACTACTAAGTCTCATCTTGGTTTAGGTAATGCAATGATGTCATGTTCTGTCAAGCACAATACATATGTCCCTGTAGAGGATGATCTCATGCTATTGCGGATAGGGGAAAAAACAAAAATCAGGACAATGCATTAAGAATTTAATTAAAAATTGGTAATTCTGCTCCTTGCTATTCTTTTCTCTGAAAGCTTTCAGCTGTAAGGAAGCCTAAAAAACAAGTAGCTGAAATGAGCAACAGCATTTTTCTAATCTAGCAGAGTAAGTTATGTAGGTCTTAGGAAGCTTATTTTACAATATTTTATCTGAAAAAAGTTTTTTAAAATCCCTCTGAGACAGAGATAGTGAATATAAAGATGATGCTGCAATGATCTTTACAGGTACTAAGTAGTAAAAAAATAAAGTTGTTTAAAAAGGTCCAAAACTATGTTCAGCAAGCTACCAAAAATGATCAAAGTCTCTCTGTATAGCAATAAAAGAAAAAGTGTATTTTCCCATATATAAATGCAGTTGTTCCAATGCTTTTCTTTTGATAGGAAAATGATAAACAAACCAATGTTTTTACTCCATTCCAGCCTGGATTTACTTATTCTACCTGGACTTAATGAATATAAATTCACATCATCATACATAACCACTGCCATAAGAACCATCAGATTTCTTTTTAAAGCAGTTGTGAACCAACAAGGGAAGTTAACGATCTAGCGATAAAAATAATACCAAAGCTTCTCAGACAGGGAAGGAAGCAAATAACTGAATTATCTCTAGTTACCAACTGTATCTTGAAATATGCAAAGCACAGGAGACAAGACAACACATGTTCAGTATCTGTCAGCTGCTACAAAGAAATGATTGTAGCAGTATTAAAATACATATCCAAAACAGAAACCGGTATCTTAAAACATGTCCTTAAAGATTAGAAAAGGGCAGTTTTCCAACTCATGTGACTGCAAGAGAAAATGTCAAGCATTCAAAGAAGGTATTTCATGTACATAAATATATACATGCTACATCACAATACTAATGCAGACATGTAAATTAAGAATTTTCCATTCTACAGTGTATGACAACCAATAATTATCTAATTAATAATGGAAGGAAAATATAGAAGCTGACTGTATGAAAAAACTAAATACATTTGAGATACACCATTATGATTTCTGTGTGGCATTATCCACCTGTTAAATACTGCTAGCACTGACGGGAATGTGCCAATAGTGTGACAGCCCTTCACATTACTTCTGCTCTGGATGTGGTTGTTGGAAAGCACTGACACTGGGCCAGCACTCTGATCTTCCAAAAGCAAACAGACTTTTAGTTAGCCGGCATTAATCTGCAAAATCAGCAAGACCTGAAATTATTCTCAGAGTAGATAGGGCCCTTGCTTATTAATTCACCTATACCTATCACCACCGCAACAGGCAATAGCCTTGTCAGGCTCCTTAACGTTAAGTACGCGGTGTGTTAGTTTCAAACCTATCAACTGATGAGAAGCAGATAATTAAAGGAGAGAATTATGAGTTGGAGAGTAAAAGACTAGATTATCAGCGCTATCCTTCAAGCCAACAGGGAA